AACATTTAAGTGAAGTTTGTCTGGGTCATGTGGGTTTCGGAGATATATACTACTTTTTTTAATAACCAATTACTTATTTTTATAATAAACATGCCAACTACCTCTGGCAATATATCCAAGGTTATGAATCTTGCGCAAAAAATTTGCTGGCATAAAATGTTAATTTGAAGTTAAAGCTTATAACGTTCTACAGCTGAGGACGTGCCTCCTCTCATTTCTGAAAGGATCTGAGAGTGGGATGGAGGAGAAATTCTTAATGCGTATGTACGGACAAGGGTATTAGCGGATTTCACATGTCCCAGAAATATGTTATTCCTCAGACGTACAGATTTACTACCGATGTTTCCTTCATAAACGAGAACGTGGTAAATCAGACTGCTTTATTGGTCTAGAGGTCTTAGAAGCGGTTGCTGTTCATGAGGTCCCGGGTTAGAGTCCCAGGGCGAACCAAAATCAATATTTGGGTTTTCTGTTCTTGGAAAGTAACGTAAGGCCATTGTTACCGCGCCTGATCTCTCTCCGTTTGCGTCCGATTGTCATCCCATTGGACTATGAGTGAGTAAATAGTGAGTGTACCTATACTACAGATACATGTATATTCGGGCTTTATATATCTGTCCTGTGCATGAGAATTGTCAGCGTTGGCCAATGTGGCCGAAATTCGGTTTACAGGATGCTATAAATCAGCACTTGAAATTTCAGTCAACGAATTCATAGGTGCTGGCGGGCTCGAATCCAGGTTGATCGGGCACTACTAAATAAATGAAGACCGCTTAGCCCATGACCTATAATTAAAAATAAACCCATGCATTTCTCATTTAATTTAAGTTGCGTATAATAAATAATGGCATATAATCAACAGTCAAATCCGCATGTTGCATATTCAATTGCCTTGAAATTTGCGAGTTATAATTATGGAATAGGCATTTTTAAATTATATATTTTTTTAATTTTGTAGTAACAAATGAACGTACAGTCGTTACGTCGTTAGCAGGAGCTACACTGCAGCTATTTGGTTATAGCACAAGTGAATCGGCTCGACCGGGGAAAGACCACGCTCTCACAGAATGCCAGCGTAAAACAGCAGCTTAACACTGCTGTGATTTGTTTGGTGTATTTGGAGAACCGAAGATATTTTGGAAATGAGGCATTTTATCTTAGTTATCAAGACTAACACCGCACCTGCAGTTCGATTCATAATTAAATATCAGGTCGATCGTACATTCAGGTGGACTGTGTTCTTGTTTGTTACCCTTAGTCTAAAAAAAACTGCCGCCAACTTGGAACGAAAAAGGATACGATGCGTTGTCAACTCTGAGAACTAAGTTGTACTCTGTTTTTGAAATTCTCCATAAATACCTCTAACGTATAACTTTGTATCTTTTGTGGAATTTGGTGAAAGTTTTTTAAAGTATAGCAGGCTGCTAGAGTCAAAAATGCCGCACCTTTGCCTCATTTTCAAAGTATCTTAAATCTTTAAAAAAATAGGTCTCTGTCTCATTTGGGATATCTGTCAAGTCAATATCTTAATATAGTAATAAATTATTCTATGTGGTCTGAAGGCTGTATTTTATTTTAATATTAATAAAACAATAGTATTTATTGCAATTTAACTTGCAATAAGTGTTCGTAATATTTTGTTTAGCAAAAGTTATCAGCAACAGCTATTTTTTGGAATATTTCATAGAATGTGACGTAGTAATTCCATTCCAGAGCCAGTACCTCTCAACAGTGGCTAAGCAATAAGTTACAGCGCTTAGTGCAGCAGGATAGAATCCCGCACGGAATAAATACTTGTATGGCCCACAAATAGTTGTTCCGGGTTTGGATGTTTGGCCCTGTGAAATTTTTGTATGTAACCTGCCTCTACGATACAGGAGAAATTCCTAGTGAAGGGGTTCTTTAAAAAAATGGAAAAAAATGGAAAAAAAGCAAAAGCAGACTGCGAAAAACAAAAAACAAATTGATACTTTCGACATAATTTCTGAATGGCTCGATAAACTAACGCTGCGATAAGATGTTTGCATATTCTATCGCATCCACCACGAGGAGTGATCAGTGGAATTGTTTGGACTGATTACAGCCGATCAATTTCACCATCCCACATCGCAATAACGTCTACATAATTGGCAGTCCACCACTGTGCGATTTACTGGAAGTTTTATTCCTGGTACAACTCCCTTGTGGAGTCAACTACCATCAGGGATTTTTCCTGACCGATACGGAAAAGAACCTTCTAGAATAGAACCTACTCTTTTTAAAAAGCCGGAAATGCATCTGCAACTACCCTGATTTTATAGTTATTCATGGGTGACGGTATTAGCTTACCATGCGGCGAACCGCGTGCTCGTTTGTCTCTTCATATGTTAAAAGTTATAGCTTCAGAAATCGATAATAAAAATGTGTGTATTCAAGGCTCCGACTCCACTCCGACTTTGAAGTTGATTTTTAATTTTAGTTAAAAAAATTCTCTTTTTCATTAACCTTTCATCACTAATACCTAAAAGTCATTTAACGTTAACTGTTATTACTCATTTAGACAGATGCGTGCTTTCAAAATGACCAAAGTTTCTGAAACAATTATTACTCCAAATGTCTCTATTCTTTCATTAGCTTTAGTTTGATATCTTTCCCTAGATTGTGAGAACAACACATGTATACTCTTAAATATTAAGAATTGTAACCAGAGCCAATATTCGTATGCAAAGAGAATCGTAGTTACTATGGGTTAACAGCAATAGGACCAGAGCATGGAGTATAGAGGAAGGAGGACAATCTCTCATAGGAGAATAGTTGAAAATGTGTCCATCCGTAAGTAGTAAATAACAGTTCAAAAACTTTCCACAGCTCGAGTAGCTACGGGGTATGATAAATTGCAGTAAAATAAATTGAGAGTGATTTTGAAACAAAAAATTTAGAATTAATGTATGTGCAATAAAAAAATTATAAAAGTTCTTCGAAATTTAGACTGTAGATACAGTGGCGCCACCCTTTTTTAACGATTTCCTACGGACGCTTTTTTATACAGAGTCTGTACTCCTTAGCTCTACACTCTATAAACCAAATTAACCAATATAAACTAGATACTTAAATGAAGTAGCGGTGAGCCGGCCTTGTTTTTTTTAACGTTACCCTCACACTACTACTACATTTACGTGGTAGAGCCATGCTGCAGTTATATTAGTAGTATAGTTGTAGCACGAATGGGTCGGCTCAACCGGCGATGGACCACGCTCTCACAGAATACCAGCGTAAATACTGCTGTGTTTCGTATGGTGAGTGTAGAGAATCGAAAACCCCTTTTACTGGAAACGAGGTAATCTAAATCTTAGTCCTCACGGGTGACAACGCATCTGCATTTTGACTCGTAATAGAGGATAGATGTCTCTTGACCGCAGCAACCACTTACCATCAGGTGGACTGTGTGCTCGTATGTCACCCTATCCTATATAAAAAAAAACACTAGGTTTTTCTCCTTTACCGTGGAGGCAGTTTAAATACGTAAATTGCACAAGAACAAACATCCAGACCCGGAACAATTACTTGGCCATATAAATACTAGTTCCGAGCGCGATTCGAACCCACGGCCCTCAGCGCTATAATTCATTGCAAAGCTACTGCGCCACGGAGCCGTCAAACCTTATAGCTATAAGAACTAACAGTCGGTGGGGATGAAAGGTTTTCGAGGTACAAGCTTGTACTAGTAAGTAAAATTAGGATATTTACCATTACCGTAACAAACTAATATCACAGTCTATAAATTATGTCTTTATTGTACTGTGCTAATATCTGGTATTAAAATATTTAACTACGAAATTTTGGTTTCCGTACTTTACTCTATGCTGCGACGTTACAAGTTATTTCCGGATGAATTGATATAGGGGTAGTTCTTCAGAGACAAAATTTTCGATTTCTATGGATATATTTTCTGTAACCAACTAACAAAACGGCATGTATTTTTTTTGGACCGTTTTATCTGTATCTCTATCTGGGACAAAATATATTTTTCAAATAATTGCTGTCTAGGTACAGAATAAAAATATTTGAAGTTTGTTCTTCTGATTCATATAACGCGTCCGTTTGCCATTTTCCGGAACAAAATGGTCGATGTCGCATTTTCCCTTTGATAAATCAATATAAATAATAATTATATTGAAAGGAAATGAATTTTCCTCCTACAAAAAAAAATGGGTATTAGTTATAACTACGTTAGTGTGTTTATAAATAAGTAATTAAAAAGTGTCCGACGTATAATACTGATTAATGTGGCGTAAGCTGCGCTTGACCGTACTTGGTCGGGTAATATTAATGAGAGTCTGGCTTCCTGCGCGGGGGGACGCCAGTCGTGCAACGAACGAGCTAGAAGGCGGACGTGCGGCTTTTTGGCTTAGATCCCGGTGTTACGAAGGTAAATATCTGATTCATCTGTGCTTGGTTCAGGTGGCATTCTGATTACACTGCCTACTTTATAAAATTTATTTTATTGTTTTAAAACTTCAATCTGAGTTTCGTAAGGTGTTTTTGGGTTATAAATTCATGTAAAAAGATAACAATACTAAAGTCTGTATGTATGATGAGTTATGCATGATTGTAGGCAAAATCCTGATTCATCTGTGCTTGATTCATATGGTCAAAACCCCATATAAATCATAAAATGAATTAGTTTTCGCCTCCCCAGCACAAAACGAGCGCTTTTGTTGCCTACTCCTTGTCTAATTATATTTATTTTGAATGATTAAAAAATCACAGGAGTATAAATTTATTCTACATATGACACTTTTGATAGGCCTTAGTCTTAGTTAAGAATTAATAATTATTATTTAAGAATAACAATCACAACTAATAGTGTATTTATTACTAAAAATAATGTAAAGAAATTGAGACTAGTATTATTTAAATAGTACTTTTGACATTGATCTTCCGTATTAACAACCATAAAAACCTACTTATTCATTAATCTCTATCTAATTTCTGTTATTTTAATATTACAGTCCATAACAATGCCACAAACTAAAGATCAAAAGAAGGAGAAAAAGAGAATCGCAGAACGTAAAAGGATGGAAAATATAAGAAAAGATCCAGACAAGTATGCTCTGTGGAAATTAAAAATGAAAGAAACATATTTGAAAAGAAAGAGACAAGGTAAAATCACATCAGTTCAGAATTTGACACCGAAACAACAAAAATTAGCTAGGAAGAAAAGCAGAGAAAGTACTCGAAGATGGTATGCTAAAAAGAAATTATTAAAAGAACGTGATATTCATTCAGAAGAGGAAATCATTAACGAATGTGATCCGGCAGACGATACCGAAATAAATGATCCTTTAGATTTGAAATTACCATCATCTCCAGAAGTTTCGATTATACCAAGATCTCCGGATATTCCCAGCTCATCACAGGTATTAACTCAGTTTTCACCACATTCTGCACGTATAACAAGATCAACAATAAGACAAAAGAGGACACTTGGAATTGATTTGAACCTAACAGAAAATGAAACAGATATCTCATCCAATGCTGACGTCCATTCGAGAATAATATCGCCTTCACCAAATACTTCGATATCAGATTCACCAAGGACTCCCAGCCCACAAAGTAGCATCGCATCGTCACCACGACGTGTCGTCAGCCCAAAAGTTTATAAAAAAGCTGCACGGAAAACACCTCTTAAAAAAGAAATCGCCTTGGAAACATATTTTACGAAAGTTTCAATATAGATATACTAAAGAAATACAATTGAAAGACCAAAAAATTCTGGAACTTAAAAGAGTAAATGAAAATTACCGGAAAAAGATAAAACGGTTAGAAAAAGATAAACGGGTAACAGACGTGCATAAAAGACAAAAGGAAAATCTATCTGGGAATGAAAAAAATACAGATTGTTGTTGAACCCTGTGCTACCGGAATTAAAGAAAATGTCACTATGTATTTTGAAGAAGATGAAAACAGTAGAATGTGCGCGGGAAAAAAAGAATTTGTCACCAAAGGAAAAATAAGAAAACAGAAGCGATATCTTAGCGACAGCTTGCAGAATCTACATAAAAAGTATCTTGAAACCAATCCTCAATACAAAATAAGCCACAGTGCATTTTGCAAGCTTCGTCCATTTTGGGTACGCGTACCAAACGTCAATATTCGTGAAACATGTTTATTTAAAGATCATGAAAATATGGAGTTGGTCGTTGTAGCCCTTCGGAAAAATTATCTGATTGTGGAAAAATCTGTAAATGAGATTCTACAATCATTATGTTGTGATCCTAGGAATGTTCACTGTCTGACTAAGAAATGTGATAGTTGCAAAAATAAGGCCATTAATTATAAAGAATTTGACAATACCAAAGAAACACATTACTTTATTTGGAACAAAGTAAAAAAAACTTATATCAAAGATGGAAAAGAAAAAGCTACGCTTCAAACGATTAAGGCAAAAGTTGCAGCGCATCCCAAAGATATAATCGAACATTTCGAAAACCTGTTAGTACCTTATATGCGACACTGCGGAAATATTATAACTCAATATAATTATGCAAAAAAAATTGAAACAAAACCTGAAGCCTGAAGAATGCATCATACATTGCGATTTTAGTGAAAACTATAACACAAAATATGCATCTGAGATTCAGTCTTTCCACTTTGGCAGTTCCAGACAACAAGTAACATTGCACACCTCTGTTATTTATTACATTAAAGATGGAAAACTGTGTAAGCAGTCATACTGTACTATCAGTGAATGTTTGCGCCATGATGCCGTCGCAATCTGGGAACATTTACAGCCAATTCTCCGATTTCTTGAAAACGAGGTACCGGACGTAACAACCTTTCATTTTATTTCGGATTCACCATCGGCGCAATATCGTAATCGCAAAATGTTTTACATAATGGCGAAAATGCACTGGTATTTTTCTAGTTTGCGATTATTAGTGTGGAATTATTCTGAAAAAGGACACGGTAAAGGGGCTCCTGATGGTGTCGGAGCAGTTCTAAAACGAACTGCTGATCAAATAGTTGCGAGAGGGAATGACATTCCAAACATTGAAATTCTTGTCAGACACCTAAAAGAACGCTGTACAGGAGTTATTATAGAAGTCGTTTATGAGTCGGGCATATTAGAGAAAGATATGCTGATTCCCGAAAATTTAAAGGAATTCCGCGGGACCATGAGAACACATCAGGTTGTGTGGAGTGCCAATCAACTTCAGACTTTAGCTATGAGAGAACTTAGTTGTAGCTTGGACAATTGTTCACAAGAAGCCATTCAATGTTCTCATGGTCAACACATTGGTTTTTATACCATAGAAGACATTAATAAACAACAGAGTCATCACTCTGTTATGTTAAACGTCAAATCCGCGGATAAAAGAAAGGTGACATCGAAGAAATCTACATGCAACTCTTTGATCAAACGTAGCCAAATATCTGCTACCGAAATTCAGACTGGAAAAGATACGGATACAACCCAACAAGACCTCGACCTTCCCGATGACGACAGCTTTTGGATGGAGACTTCGTCAATCGATGAAAGACTTATAACTCCAAAATTCACCAGAGATGTCCTATCGACCCTCCATCAGAAAAGCGTAGATGATCGCTCAGATTCTGACGATGAGGATATTTTTGTGTTTAAAAAGCCTCAATATGATAAGCGGACAAAAGAGTCTCACGGCATTGTTGAAGATATGATTATTCCATCTTCCTCCGAAAATTCAAGATCTCGTCAACAAGAAAAAGGCTTTATGGATGATATTGAAAGCAGCTCCGTCCCTAGCCCAAAGCCAAGAAAATATTTCTTTTAGTACCTATTTAACTTTGACCTTATTACTTATTAGTTAATTATACCTAGAATCTATATTTCTTTGAAAGTTGATAAGGAAGATTATTGTCAAAAATGCCATTTAAAGTTGATCTCATTTTTGTTACTTTATTGTTAGGTAGTAATAAATAAACCAATGTGATTGGTAATTTCAATTAATAATTAAGACTGCTATTCTCACTTTACCATATAATACAAGAATTATTATAAATACTGGAGTTTAAAAATATTTTTACAAGAATTGTTGTTTAATTCATCAGATTTTTTTCCGTGATATGATCGCTGATAATTGTTTTCATAAAAAAAGGTTATTGTTGTTATTCAAATATGATTATTTTCTTAATACAAAGTTTTTTTATTTTTATTTCTGTTTCTGATTCATCTGTAACAAATTCTGATTCATCTGGGCACAAATATTTGAACGTCGATATCATGAAAACTACTTTATAAAAACGAGTCCCTCATTCAAGTATATGTTATCTGGTATACCTTTTTTCATATGAACATGTGTTACAAAGCTGAAAGTGAAATTAAATTTTGGCCATATGAATCAGTCGAAGAATCAAATTTCGAAGAACTACCCATAGATAGTCTTAAATTACTATACACTGAAGCCTCTAGCAAGTTCAAAATACACAGGCCATGTTTAAACAAAGAAAACTTGTAAAATCTTGTAACCTGTTATTATATTGATTCAGCAACTTATCCTTAGACCCGAAATTTTTTTTCAGTCCGAAGATATTACAATTTTTCTTATCAGTAGAAGGATAAGTAATTATGATTATAATATTTTATTTTACGATTTGAATAACGTAGAAATATTGACTCTTTTAAGAAAAGAAAGATTTAAAAAATGTGGGTGAATCACATTTTTCAAATGCTTTTATTAACTTGACTAGTGTGTCTGTATGTATGTATGCATATATGAATGTTATAGCATTTTATGACTCAGTTTTTTTTACTTCCAGACCTGTGAATAAACTGAAATTTTACGAGTAAAGAACCGATGACAACACAGTAGAATATTTTCCTGTAAGCGGTTTACATACATAAATTGCACAAATACACATTCACAGACCCGGAACGATTACTTGTAGACCATACAGTTTCACGGCTATACACAAGCTATGCAGACGCCTAAATAATAAATGTGTTGGTTATTTTTAACTCTATTCTTTTTTTAAATTGATATAAGTACCAGATGTGAATTTAATACTTGATAAACGCGAAAAATAAGAAAATAAGTTTAACATATAAATTCCCTAGGGATTAAACATAAAACAAAGACGAAGAAGGCACGTTTAGACGGAAGAGCACGCTTAAAGTGAAAAGTTTGAATTAATTTATCTTTTCTTCGTTTCTTCTTGTTTTGGACTGTTTTTGACGCATTATTTATTAGCACTTTGGTGAACACTTAAAATTCCAGGAACTGTGCCCCGGATTGGGTATTATACGGTTGATATAATTCAATTGATTCGTTTGAATATAACTTTAATTTTTTTTACTAAATACTAAAAAGTCTATTTATTGAAAATTTATTGTAATTTTTACGTTTCTTTTTAATTTTATTGTAATTGCTACTTTTATTATAAGTATTTATATGATAGCGTATAAGTGTAATGGTTAAGATATTTGTGTGCATTTTACTTAAAATTGTATAATATTGAATATTGTAACGTTATTTATTGTTAAATTTTCATTGGCAGTTATTGAAGATAAGCGTTAAAGTACTTCATCAGTACCAAGACTATGCTGAATTTGGTACCTTTTTAGTAAACGTTTATAATATGTTACAACTATAATTAAACTTCTATAATGTATTCTAAATAATATTATTTTCTTTCTTTCTAATATCTGTTCAACTTTTTTGACGGTTGGGTAAGGCAGCGACTAAATTGCAGTGCGCAGGTTCTAATCCTGCACGGAGCAAGTTTTTATATGGCATACAAGTAATTGTTCCGGGTCTTGAAGTCAATCTCTGTACAATTTATGTATATAAAACACCCTACGCTACAGAAGAAAATCCTACTATGGAAGTAACGGTTTTTATTTAAAAAAACCTACAGATTTAATTACTATTGGAATCTCTACAGCTAGCTTGCTAGTCTAGTTCGTATAGCTATGATTACTTTCGAGGCCCTAACTGTGGATGCGAGTGAAAACCTCTGATGTTTTTCGCATATGTATAAAATGAGATTAAGCTATAGCATGTTTCCGAAACACCTTATCTTTTGACGTGTATGTCAAAAGTGTTCAGTGTCTTTTGCCTTCAAGAATTTTCTAAAAGCTATTATTTTGAAATCCTCTGATTCTTCAATACAAAACTGTTGTACTTCCTTTGCTGTGTCGATCTTAACATCTATCTCCGACTTTTTTAAATTTTCACAAAGCTATTATCTTCGAACTATCTTAATCCCCAATACAAAACTGTTGTACTTCCTTTGCTGTGTCTATCTTAATATCTATCTTCGACTTTAATCTATATAGAAATTGCTTTTAGAACGATAAGATCGCCTATTGGTTATTTCTTAATATAAAAAATTCACAGTTTATTTGTTTTATTATTGGGTCTAATCTTCGTTTTAATTTCTATCTAAACGGTGAATTTAACCATCATCCTTCACAGTAAGTTACCGTGGGTAAATCTTTGTTTCAGAGAGCACGAGAGATCTGTGACAGAAAACATCTGACCGCCGAGCTTCAGCAAGTCAAGCAAGTATTGCAAGACAACAAGCTTCGGGTCCCGCGCCTACGTCACAGTGATATTATCTATACAGTTGGCTCGCCAAACCACTTACCGGTAAAAGACCTCCACACAAACCGCATCCAATGAGGAAGAAGAAATTATTTTCTTCCTCATTGGTTGCAGGTTCTTCGGTCTATTATCGGGTTATGCCGGTTACTCTG